GGTGGTGGATATCAAGGATCTGGAAAGATTCTGTATGGAGGAATGGTCTAAGACCCCTCCCATTGTGTTCTCCAAAAAAGGCTCAGTGTTGTTATCCTTACAAGGGGAGGGTGCTGGAGTACTGAAAACAGGGGCTCCAATAATTTTGAGCCCTATCGCATTTGTATGAGTATACAATTATATACAGTGCTGTGAAAAAGTATTTGCCCCCTTTCAAATTTTCTCCACTTTTGCATATTTCTGATACTCAATGTTATCAGATCTTTAACCAAAATCTAATATTAGATAAAGGGAACTGGAGTGAACAAATAACACAGAAATCACATACTTTTTTCATTTATTTCATAAACAAAGTTATGCAACACCCAATGCCCCTGTGTGAAAAAGTAATTGCCCACTTACACTCAATAACTGGTTGTGCCACCTTTGACTGCAATGGCTTCAACCAAACGCTTCCTGTAGTTGTTGATCAGTCTCTCACGTCGCTGTGGAAGAATTTTGGCCCACTCTTGCATGCAGAACTGCTTTAACTCAGAGACATTTGTGGGTTTTCAAGCATGAACATCTCAATTGGGATTAGGTCTGGACTTTGACTAGGCCATTCCAAAACTTTACATTTGTTGCTTTTGAGTCATTTTCATGTAGACTTGATTGTGTGTTTTGGATGATTGTCTTGCTTCATGACCCAGCTACGTTTCAGCTTCAGCTCACAGACTGACATTCTCCTGTAGAATGCTCTGATACAGAGCAGAATGCATGGTTCCTTCTATTAAGGCAAGTCATCCAGGTCCTGAGGCAGCAAAGCATCCCTAAACCATCACGCTATCACCACCATGCTTGACCATTGGTATAAGGTTCTTACTGTGGAATGCAGTGTTTGGTTTTCGCCAGGCATAATGGCACCCATGTTGTCCAAAATGTTATACTTTTGTCCATAGAGACATTCTTTCAAGAGTCTTGATGATCATCCAGGTGCTTCCAGGTGCTTTTTGTCAAACTTGTAGCTACAGGAAGCATTTGGTTGCAGTCATTGTAGCTAAAGGTGGCACAACCAGTTATTGAGTGTAAGGGGGGCAATTACTTTTTCACACAGGGGAATTGGCTGTTGCTTAAATTTGGTAATTAAATAAATAAAATAAGTATGTATGTAAGTACGTTCAAATGTTTGGGGTCACTTAGAAATGTCCTTGTTTTTGAAAGAAAAGCTTTTTTTTTGTCCATTAAAATAACATCAAATTGATCAGAAATACAGTGTAGACATTGTTAATGTGGTAAATGGCTATTGTAGCTGGAAACGGCTGATTTTTAATGGAATATCTACATAGGCGTACAGAGGCCCATTATCAGCAACCATCAGTCCTGTGTTCCAATGGCACGTTGTGGTTGCTAATCCAAGTTTATCATTTTAAAAGGCTAATTGATCATTAGAAAACCCTTTTGCAATTATGTTAGCACAGCTGAAAACTGTTGTGCTGATTAAAGAAGCAATAAAACGGGCCTTTTTGAGACTAGTTGAGTATCTGGAGCATCAGCAATTGTGGGTTCGATTACAGGCTCAAAATGGCCAGAAACAAAGAACTTTCTTCTGAAACTCGTCAGTCTATTCTTGTTCTGAGAAATGAAGGCTATTCCATGCGAGAAATTGCCAAGAAACTGAAAATCTCGTACAACGCTTTGTACTACTCCCTTCACAGAACAGCGCAAACTGTCTCTAACCAGAATAGATGGAGGAGTGGGAGGTCCCGGTGCACAACTGAGCAAGAGGACAAATACATTAGAGTGTCTAGTTTGAGAAACAGGCGCCTCACAGGTCCTCAACTGGCAGCTTCATTAAATAGTACCCGCAAAACACCAGTCTCAACATCAACAGTGAAGAGGCGACTCCGGGATGCTGACCTTCTAGGCAGAGTTGCAAAGAAAAAGCCATAACTCAGACTGCCCATCTTAATCAAGAATAGACTGACGAGTTTCAGAAGAATGTTATTTGTTTCTGGCCATTTTGAGCTTGTAATCGAACCCACAATTGCTGATGCTCCAGATACTCAACTAGTCTCAAGAATGCCAGTTTTATTGCTTCTTTAACATAATTGCAAAAGGGTTTTCTAATGATCAATTAGCCTTTTTAAATGATAAACTTGGATTAGCAACCACAACGTGCCATTGGAACACAGGACTGATGGTTGCTGATAATGGGCCTCTGTACGCCTATGTAGATATTCCATTAAAAATCAGCCGTTTCCAGCTACAATAGCCATTTACCACATTAACAATGTCTACACTGTATTTCTGATCAATTTGATGTTATTTTAAATGGACAAAAAATGTGCTTTTCTTTCGAAAACAAGGAAATGTCTAAGTGACCCCAAACTTTTGAACAGTAGTGTATATATTTTTGTTATTTGTAAACTCAGGTTCCCTTTATATAATTTTAGGTTTTGGTTGAATATGTGATAACATTCAGTATAAAAAATATGCAAAGATATCGAAAAAAGCTCAGAATTTGAATTATTTATTTTATGCAGTCTTTTTCCTCATCTTTATCAAGGCATGCAATAATTATGGACCCAACTGTAGCTTCCCATTAGATCATTTTAATAATGGTGTGCTATTTTTGGGAGAACACTTCATCATAAATGGTCCTGATCATGAAGTGAATTCATATGAGATTCTGAGAACCTTCCAAGCCTGATTAGGCTGATCAACAACAAGCTGTTCTGTAAAAGAACACAATGTGAGCATCAGGCTGTGGTTTGAAACAGTGCTCAAGGAGTGGTCAACTCTGGGCAATATGTCCTCTAAGGTAACCAAGCAACTGCTCCAAGGGGCTAAACCAGCACAACACACACACACACACACAAACACACACACACACACACACACAGAAGATTTATGAGGGGCTTCAGAGGGGTTGGCCAGACAGCAGACCTTTAATCCTCAGGATTATCTATTGAATAAAGAGAAGCTGGGGACAAGTAGGTATAATTAGTTACTGCTGCTCCCTACATTGTGATGACAAGATTTTACATTTGTTGCATTAACAAAAATTATGTGTATGTAAACAAAGGAGCAAACGGTCTATGGTCAGAGCTTTTGTCCATTACCCCACACTTTGGTGTATCACTTTAGTGTCTCTTGTGGTTTTGTATAGCTGTATGTATCCGTGTAGAGTTGTAGTCAAACATCTTATCTCTGTACAGAGTCCTATAGATCCCAAATTATGAATCCAATGTTTTATGTTTAGTTACATGTCACAATTAAACACTAAGCATCATCAAAATAAAAGAGGTAAAATCTGAATAGACAGAATCCCCTTTTAAATGTATTGCAAGTATTCTGTATTCTATATATGTGTGTTTATTTACACCAAAGTAATCCATCTCTCTCTTTCTTAGACTTTTGACAACTGTAAATGAATGTCCTGATTTCAAAAGCAGGATGATTAAAAAAAGAAAATACATTTAGCCTAAATAACAAAGAGAACCGGACCGACTAACACATTTCATTGTCGATACAACAGGAGCAAGTTGATTTATAATACAGGAAAAAAATAAATACTATCGACAAGTAACATTCTATCGACTACAAGCATTTTCTAAATAAGTCTTTGTCCATACATAACTGACCTTTAAAATATAACTTGACTTCCATATATTGGCAGAAATTATGTGTATTTGACTGATGTGTTTAGGTCGTGTATAATCTCTGAAGTGACCATGCTTTCATATTATCATTATTTGTCTATAGCAATCTTTGCCTCTGGTTCTTTACATTCTACATGGTTAAAGGCGTCATATACCATACATATCTTTGTTTGCTCTGGTTGAGTTTATGACTGTAGTCGTGGGAGAAGTGCCAATTGTAGGAGCATAAATGAAAAGATTGAGAAACAACACACATTTACTGGGTACAACACAAACTAATAAAAATGACATTTTCAACAACCCCAAAAAAATATGCAATCACCTTTTCACCGGTTCTAGCTTATATCTCCTATAAGGGCAGTGTCTGATTGAGAACCACTGTTTATGTCAGAAGGTTTCTTGTTTCTTAGCTTTCGTTGCAAGCGAATACCAGGTACATTTTTCACACACCTTCCCCAGACTAACTGCAAACCACATCAAAATATTTCCATGTTAAAGTGTGTGTTGCTACATGCCAGAGTTAGAGAGGATATCAAGACACACTTCCTCTACAGAACACACTGTCATCTTATCGGACCTGTCAACTGCATATAAACTCACCATTATACACACTTGTATCCATGGATATGGTGGTCATGTATTCAAAGTAAAGCAGAGCAATGCAATGGCTTTCGTATAAGTATCTAATGTTTTTTGCCCTTTGTAATTTTTATTGACAAATCAGGCCAGCAACTCACCGAGTATGTTTTCAAAATAGTCACAGAAAAAGAATCACATCTTCTGAATTTCTGTAGAATGGTTTTAGAAAGTAAGCGGTTCACTACAAAAGCCATAAACAAAATGAGAACTGGGGGATAAAATGTCTACTTTTTTTGCAGAAAATGTAAAAATCTACAGAACAAGATTTCTATTTGCAGCAGAAAAAGAAGAAAACATATAATTCAAGCACCAAGATGTATAATACACTATCAAAACAGGACAGTTTAAAAATGGGGGTCTCTTGATGAAGCTACTATTGTCCCTCATGCAAAATCATTGGCTTTTTTAACTCATATTTAGTTGTCCTAATAAGACTCCTTAAAACTCAATGGCCAATGCTTGTCTCCACCTTGTTTTGCTCATCCTCATGATGTTTGCCCATAGTCGCAGTAACAAGTCAACTGCAAAGACATTCCCACTTCCTCTGAGCACCAACGTCCAATGCTCGAGGCATTCATGCCTCACCTACTAATCTCACAAGACTGCACTGCCATACTGTATATATCTTTAAAAATATAAATATAGATTTATCTAAAGCCCCACCCTATCACGGTCCTTTTTTCTCTAACTTCTTCATCCTTTCCTATGAAGAAAGCCCTTTTAGCTGCTCTCATTCCACTCTGGCATGATGCTGACGCTGTGCACAGCGTGGTACTGATGAGGTGACAGCGTGCGCGGGATCCCGTGCGAGTACAGGTACTCGTTGCCTTGGAGACCTGCGGTGGGCGACTGGATGCCTGCCCCGGGGCTGCACTGGCGGCCCAGAGTCTGATGGGCCATGGGGCCCTGGTACATGGCGTGGTGGGCGTCACCCAGCTGCGGGGAGGCGTGGCCTGCCACTCCACTCAGTCTGGACACCAGGGGCCCCGAGGTGAAGTGGGCAGAGAAGTGCTGGTAGGGCAGCCGCTCCATTGGCTGCATGGTGGTGACGGAGCAGCTGCCGTAGGGCGAGACGCCAGCCCAGGTGTTGCAGCTGATGTCCTCCAGGCTGGGGACGGGCTCGGCCCCCTGGGAGGCGCTGGCGTACATGCAGGCCTGCCTCTGGCTGGACTCGGTCCTGTAGGGCCCCCCGGGCAGGCCCAGGCTCTGTGGGTAGCTGACGGGACGGTAGTAATGGTCGTCCTCACTGGAGGAGCTCTCCAGGTAAGCCTTCTTGTAGGTGTGCTCTCCTGAGTGACAGTCATCCTCCACTACGGACCGACAGGGAACAGTTACAGTTACAGCATGTACGCATACTGTAGACCCCTATCAGCTGAACAAAACAATGTACATATTTTTACTTTGTAACCAGCCATGTTTCGCCTTTTTATGCTTTCTAACAACCCACACCATTAGCATGCATGGCTCATATATCATGAAAGCCTGGCCCACCTTTCCTCTTGATGCAGTGGTAGTCCTGGCTGTGCTCGTGGGGGAGAGGGTAGGAGCCAGACTGGGGCAGGAGATCCTGTGAGGTGCTGGTGGCCCCGTTCTCACACTGGGTGTACTGGGAGGCCAGGCCACTGGGGGTGGCAATACCCTGCACCTCCCCACTGAACGGGCTCTGGCTGGTGCCCACTCTCTGGCGCACCGTACTGCGAGGGACCACCGGGTACTCCTTAGTGCTGCAGACATACATACAGAGATAGGGTTAGGAAATGATGATAACATTTACTGTACTGTATGCTTCTTCAACTAATCTTACCACCACTAATACTAGTACTACTATCATTGCCATTAGTATTACTAATAGTAGTGATTATTAATCGTCACCTAATTATCCTAGATCAGTAATCCTAATTATCCTCATTATAGTATTTGTTCATTTATTTGCATTCATAACGCATTTTCACATGCAAAAGAAGAAGATAAATATGTTATTTGACAGCCTGGTATCAACTTGAGGACTGTGCCTGACCTCAGTCATTAACCATGGCTGACTTATATACACAGTCTCTTTCATCCAATGAGCAGACACTATACCCTTCTCAATGCTAACAAACCACACTGACCATCAATGAGTCAAATCCACTTAGGATCCACAGAGAGTCAATGTTCCGGAGGATCAGTTTCTAGTGGAAAGACAGGGATTTATTCCAGTTGCATTAATCTAGAGGATCCATGAATGGACTATCTTTGCTTCTTCTATTTATTTGATTTCTTTGACTGTTACTTTTGAACCAGTGACCTGGTTTTGCAATAAGCTCTCCCTTGGAAATACTAACCAAGACCAGACGTGCTGAGCTTACTGTACTTGGCAAGACAGGACAGTGGCATTTAGGAGTGATCGTCTGGTTTGGCCTTTGGCCAATTAAAATCAATTTACAAATGTCTATAAAAAATAACTATTCCATTTACAGAAGTATTATCTTGTGACATTGACCAACTTAATTAATGTCTAACTTAGATAATCCAACATTAAATATGCAATATCAATTTTTTTAACACCCCGGTAAGGAATAAAACATTACTGCAGGTGAAATATCTTTGAAGAAAAAGGAAAAACATAGTTTCTTTAGTCTTCTGTCATTAATTTCACCACAAGATTTGCATTGAATGTGTCCTATCGCCTACTGATGGGGAAAATCAGTCAACCAAAAACTATTAGATTCACCTGCAGTGGCTTATTAGAGAGAATGTTCTGTTCTCCCATTCCAAATAAAATTAATGGGAGGCAAAGTTTCACTGCCCCATGGAAAATCAGGCTCCTTTCCCATTTTTCTCTGATTTTGGAATCCTCTGTTTGAAAGGCCATGCAACACCATTGTTGGCGATCTGGGGAAGTTTCAAACCAGATTTTCTCCTTTGAAAATGTGTTATCCACACTGTGTTGACACATGCGTAAAGCACTCATCTGGAATGATGTGGTCGATGCCGCTGCTGAACCAGCCATATTATCAATGCACAGATGACTGAATATCCCGGTAAAGAGGGAGTTGCGTTAAAGGGAGATGTCATTGGTTCAGAAGGCCCTTCCAGATCAGCCATAAAAGCCCTGGGACATAGAGACTGGCCTCTGCTCAAGGACTACACAAATCACAGCTGGGGAGAGAGGGGCAGGGGGCGATGGGGCTCACTGAAAATAACACTCATATCTGGTTTGCATTTCACTGATTGAAGGAGTACAACGGTGCTTGTGATGTGACACTGTGATTAGAATGTCAGTAATCCTTATCTACTGTAATTGCGGTTACATTGTGTAATATATGTTTCCAGTTTACCATCTTACAGTACAGTATAGTGTGCTAAACAACTGCTAATTATGGTAATATTGGATTCTTTCTAATAGGCTGAGATAGAAAAGTTAGGCAAGTTAAGCACTGAACCAAAGCTTGGCCATTGACTATTTGAACGTTTAGTCCATAAAGTTGCTTGATTGGTCGTTGGGCTATTAGCTGCAAAATAGGTTATATGACAAGTGCAATACTGTTAATATAACTGTGTTAGTGCAGGTTTTCAGTGAATTTATGTAAATCACGAAGCTCATCTGCATTTCCTATGGAAACTTCTCAGCAACAAAAGAGTGATCAAATTAAGATCCTACATCTGTACCTTTGCATTCTGGACATCCGATGGAGCTCCATGTCATCACTCCCACGGAAACCTTTTGCAAATGGGTTGTTCTCTATCTTCAGCTGGGTTATCTGCAAAACAGCAAGCAATTAAACAGTAAATTACAATAATATGTAAAAATAAAACTTAACGTCACAATAAGCGTGTTTCCTTTCCTCTATATTCTGTGCGAAGGACTTATTGTGTCCTTTGAGGCCTATAGCAGGATATCTTCACTTAAAACAAGCGTGTTCACTCTCCCATGTGGAACATAATACAGCCTCATGATGCTTTTGAGATGAGAGACTGCCCATAGGTCCACACGCACTGTGGTCAGTCTCGTGACAAACTGAACCTTTCAAATAAACACTCAAAACCTGGGGAGAAACCTCACAAAACCTGTGGTTTGAATTCTGTTATTTAACAGTGTTGGGGAAGCTACTCTTTTTATAGTTTACCAAGTTACCAAATACTTCACAATGGAAGAGGTGAAACTACACTAAAGCTACCCTTAAGAAAAATATAGTTTACTTAACTAAAGTTACTTTGAAAAAGTAGTTCACTACATCCAAACGACTTGGTGAAAAACTATCATATGTAAATCTGAAATTTTATATACTACAAATTGGAGGAACTGATCACTTTGGGGTCATATGTTAACAAAATGTGTAATTTAGCCTATTAAACACAAAAACAATGTTTCAAGTGAGAATTAGGCAGGTCTGATGCCAAAAAAATTAAGCAAATTATTGCCTACTTCACTCATATTTTATTTTTGCAAAAAAGTAGTGTGTAGTTCCAGTAGTTAGCTACATCACTACATGGCAAAAAAGTAATTAACTACTGAAAACGCTACCTAGATCTGAACTTAGTTAAACTACCACTAAGCTACTGTTTCTGGCAGGTAGGCCCTAACTAGTTGGCGGGTCTGGTGCTTCCCGCCTCACAACAAGATTGGATTTTTGTCCACGCACCGGCTCTCACTTTCTACGAAACCTTGTACAACATCTCTCGTTAATGCACGCACCGTTTTGGCAAAAGTGTCGATTTTAATTTTTTTCTTTTTATGATAATGATTCTCAAAATCTTTTCAAAGCAATCATTTTGATAATAACTGTTGGTGGTAAAAAATGTTTGCGAAAATAACTTGAACCACACGCTCAATAAAATAGCATACCCAAACGCCGAAGTGATGCTTAATCGCTTATTTAATTGCAAGCCTAATATGTAGGATAATTCAGGTGAAATATTACATTATAAAGGGGGCAAGAATAGCATAGTAAATGCAAATATTAATGAAACGAAACCTAATTCACTAATTAAACTTTCTATTACTGAGCATCAATCAGGTTGTCACTTGGACGAATTCATACCAGACTATACAAATGTAACACTATTTCCAAACTTACATATTTGATAGTGCATGAATTAACACTGATAGCATGGAAGAACTAGACAAGCCTGGGGTGACAGTTTCCTAACAATTCTGGAAACATTCATAGGCCTAGACACCCGGTTAAATACAAAGCAAGTTGTTACCAACTCGTTAGATATACTTGTAAGGACTATCACGGATAGCAATCATGACAAACATTAATTCATAATACAGTAGGTTACTGCATTTGTTTATATCATGCATTGCATGTGATATTTGGCTATGGGATTTACTATAATGCAACTATAATTCGTTAGAGGTAGCCAATGAACTGGTACAATTCTACGTTCAGATTCAACATGCCTAGGCCCAATGCGTTTCTGTAGCCTATAGGCCTATTGAGTTGAGAAATAAGATATGAAAACGCTAGTTGTTTTCAAAATAGTTTATTCAGAAGGAAATTGTTATATTTGTTCAATACAAACCTATGGTATGGTCAAGTTTGACCGTTTTGACTATATATGGCTGCGCCTGCCTATGCGCATTTCCTATGCCCTTTCCCCCAAAATGCATGGCATGATAACTTTCTCTAGTTTATTTGACAGATGTAACATTCTTGGATTAGGTATTCGTGGTAAAAGTTGAGGAAATCAGAATAGATTGTTTGTCTGGAAGTCTGGCTGGCTCTGGTAATAATAATTAGCCCATGTTGCATTCTCAGGTGCCCTCAATAAACTCCCTGAATATAATTAATGGTTTCTCCAGAGTTTCAGTCATTTGGATTTCCGGTTTCTCAGAGTCTTTGGGAATTCGGATTGGCTCAGGACACATTAAGGGTCCTCGCCCCCTCTTGCATATTCCCTCTGTCCCACACTAAAATCTGACTCCGACATAGTTAAAAACGGATGTTAAACAGACGTAGAAATGATTGGACAGCACTCCTAAGATTATGAGTTGTCAGATTTGAGGAAAACGAATTCTTAAATATTATTTCGATGTCTTCTCTAAACGCTCAAAAACGCAGCCAAAATAAAGCGCATGCAACAAGTGGATGTAAATGTTTTAATGTTCATATAGGAAAATATCACAATTAATATATGTAGGCCTAGGTATGGTAGTCTACATGAAAGAAAATATACTCATGTTTAAATTTAGAATTTACTGAATAAGTAGAACTAAAATGATATCACTTGCGAGCTCGAATCCATGCGTAATAGTAATAATTTGTGCCTGTGAATTATCAAATTTCCATACCAAACAAAAATAAATGGATAGCCTACTCACATCTGTCAATGACTGAATATGATATCGGTGATTATTAGACGTGAGCCTAATGTTCTGCCACTGCTCATGGTGACATATCATTACATTGGACTCCATTTCTTGCAATAGGATACACCCTATCGGTTTTATTTTTCAAGCTTTGATAATCAGCTCATTCATCAGCTTTACGTCTTACCGTCAGGTCTTTAGCAGCAATATATATATATATATATATAGCATATATATAGCATGAGCAACTTTCTGATGTTTATGAACTGATTTCGATTAATCCATGAAATGATTTTATATGTGTTGTGACGTTTTGTGTCACTTTCAATTGACAAGGCGATGCAAAAAGGCAATCTCGAGGCCTATATGTCAAAACGTTTTTATTAGTTATATACGGTGTAATTAATTACTCATCTATGATACACCGATAAATTCAGAACAATTTAGGCTATTCATACACACACACAATACAATGGCTTAAACATGTCCAAAATCGAAGACTTACCTTATGGTTCTGGTAGGACGTAACCGCAATGAAAGCAGTCTCTGGGAAGACGTGGGTACAGAACGCTGTGTTTTTGGAGCCAAAGCCGTTATTTTCATCCGCTTTCACGATGTGAATCCTGGGTTGGTATTTATGCATGGAGTTCAGGATAATCTGAAGAGAGAAATGTATGCATATTTGTGTTTTGACCATTTCTATTTTCTCCTGACAAATGGGCCACCCTGACGCATAATCTCACCAAAACACAAATTCTGACATGATCAAAATCACATTCAGATAAATCTAAACCAGTGTTTCTTAATCCTGGTCCTGGGGACCCAAATGGGTGCACATTTAGTTTTTGCCCTAGCACTACACACCTGATTCTACTAATCAACTCATCATCAAACCTTTGATTAGTGGAATCATTCAGGTCATGCTGGTGCAAAAACTCAAATGTGTAACAATTTGGGTCCCCAGCACCAGAAATAAGAAACATAGATTTATACACATTCAGACAATTAAGATAAACACAAAATACTATTGATATTGCTTTGAATAAAACATACAAATATACTGAACAACATGCAACAATTTCAAAGATTTTACTGAGTTACAGTTAATATAAGGAAATCAGTCAATTGAAATAAATTCATTAGGCCCTAATCTATGGATTTTACAAGACTGGGAATACAGATACTCATCTGTTGGTCACAGATACCCTTAAAAAAAGTAGAGGCGTGGATCAGAAAACCAGTCAGTATCTGGTGTGACCACCATTTGCCTTATGCAGCGCGACATATCTCCTTCGTATAGAGTTGATCAGGCTGTTGATTGTGGCCTGTGGAATGTTGTCCCACTCCTCTTCAATGGCTGTGCGAAGTTGCTGGATATTGGCGGGTACTGGAACAAGCTGTCGTACACGTCGATCCAGAGCATCCCAAACATGCTCAATGGGTGACATGTCTGGTGAGTATGCAGTCCTTGTAAGAATTGGGACATTTTCAGCTTCCAGGAATTGTGTACAGATCCTTGCAATATGGGGCCGTGCATTATCATGCTGAAACATGAGGTGATGGCAGCGGATGAATGGCACGACAATGGGCCTCAGGATCTCGTCACGGTATGTCTGTGCATTCAAATTGACATCGATAAAATGCAATTGTGTTCATTGTCTGTAGCTTACACCTGCCCATACCATAACCCCACCACCACCATGGGGCACTCTGTTCACAACGTTGACATCAGCAAACCGCTTGCCCACATGATTCCATAAACATGGTCTGTGGTTGTGAGGCCGGTTGGACGTACTGCCAAATTCTCTAAAACGACGTTGGAAGCAGCTTATGGTAGAGAAATGAACATTCAATTGCCTGGCAACAGCTCTGGTGGACATTCCTGCAGTCAGCATGCCAATTGCACACTCCCTCAAAACTTGAGACATCTGTGGTATTGTGTTATGTGACAAAACTGCACATTTTAGAGTGGCCTTTTATTGTCCCCAGCACAAGGTGCACCTGTATAATGATCATGCTGTTTAAGCAGCTTCTTGATATGCCACAACTGTCAGGTGGATGGATTATTTGGGCAAAGGAGAAATGCTCACTAATAGGGATGTGAACAAATTTGTGAACAGAATTTGAGAGAAATAAGCTTTTTGTGCATATGGAACATTTCTGGGATCTTTTCTTCCAGCTCATGAAACATGGGACCAACACTTGACATGTTGCGTTTGTATTTTTGTTCAGTGTATATAAAACACACAAAATATTTATTAAAACCAAGAATACCAATATTAATCATATAGCAATTCTGAAAATATACAGTATATATAAATATATTTGACCATATCATTTAAAGTACAGTCAAATCTAAATGTGAGCATAGCTTATATGTAACTCTACAAACCCATCACTGAAGGGCATGACAGTAATACATTCAGTAATACATTACAACGCTCTTTACATCCCATGATAATATACATATGTCAGAAGAGATGAGTTCCCATTGTAACACGTGAACATCTTCCCATTCCCTGCGTTCGCCCTGACCCCTCTGACCTAGTTAATGCTAAGTGATGACTACTACCACTGACGACATTAAGACGCGGTCCACCCAGTTGAACTTGAGCCCTGAACTCTTCTCATGAGGCCGTCTCATCCGTAGGCTTTAGTCTAATTGGTCTGACATACTGTGGAGTCATGGGGATCAACAATGAGCAATCTAATGGTTTCTAATTTCATTAAATCCACTTACATTTACAGATAACAAAACAGTTTTTTTTTCTCCTTCACCTCCTCAGGAACTCCCTGCACCCCTGCCCCTGGGCATTCCACCTATCTCTTATCTGTAGGGTTGTTTAAGTACCTTCCTTTCAATAGCCACGCTGCAGAGAAAAGGGAGAGGATGCCCTGACCTCCTAGACCGGTGGGGCATTACAAAGACCTCAGTGGATTCTCACAACTGATGGAACAGTTCAACCTCAGAATAGAGAGTAAATTGTGGTCCACTGTGAATTTTCCAAAAGCACTTTGATAGTAGGTTAGTGTACAACACATTTGATTGTCCTCTAAACAGAAATGGGTGAATGTATTTCAACAGCCAACACTGGAAATGCTTTATGACTCAGATTGATTTTCCACATTATAAATACAATGGGTCAAAGCTGAAGTATTTTTGAAGTATTTTAAAACACTGAATTAGATAAAAACTTTGGGAGAAAACAGAATGTATGCTCACATTTACCAATCCCACCACAAAGTATTTAGAGGAGGTTGGTTAGGGACTTGTAAATCACTTGTGAACAGCAGCCTATATCACCGCAAATGTAAAAGTTATCTGGCTTACAGATTCACAATGATACAAACCATTGGGATGCTTTGATTTAACACATTTAGATGGTCGCAACCTTGTTTTCTAACTCTTGAAGACATCTATGTGTCATGTAACCTACACCAAGAGTCTTGTGTTAATTTTCTACAAGACAACAACATGAACCACAGACAGGGTTGGTTCCCTTCGTGTCTGTCGGTCTGTGGAGGTGTGACCCCGGAGCATAGCAGACCACCCACTAGGCCTCCAGCACACGCCTTGTCTCCATGCCCTGTTGCCCTGGTTCTCTGCATCTCCATTCTCCCTGACTCTGTATGATAGTATTTAATGATAGTGAGGGATCAGCCTGGGTCCCCGGCGGCTGCCCTACGCTTTCAAGTTCCTCCACATCAGAGGGCTTTCTGAAGCCTTTGGATTAACAGGCTTTGTACACCATCATCTATTGCTCATCTCACACTGCCGTTGGAACATAAACAGTGGGATATCCACACTCCACCCTCCTGGCTAAAACATGTGTGGGGAGTACTGAACGAGTGCACCAGCACCAGCAAATTGGGGGAGAAGATGAATAACATTGAGAAATGTTTCGCAAGTTGAGAGGGAAGATCAAAGCCATAGCTGAGGCTTGTGATAAAACGTAGGCCCTAAAATGAAAATGGGTAATCATATGTTTATATACATACTATTGGTATCAGATAGAAACTAAAGCCTCAATTAGCAACATAACCCAAATAACTGAGATTATACCATCTACATGATTGAGAGTCAAAAAACATAAAATATATAGATATTGTCAATAAGATATATGTAAACATTGACCATAGCAAAATGAACTGTAAAAATCAAACCAAATATCAGAAAGCCCTTCAATAAACTCATATTTATACTAAATTACAAACATATACAGTCATAAAAACATTAATTTCAACCTTCTGAAACCTATAGGAGCCACTGGTATATCCCAGCATGCTCTCTGGCTGGGAGGGGAGGTCCTGCTCTGTTCTGTCTAATTACCAAACAGTTGTAAAGTAAAGTCCTGTTTCAGGTCCCTCCTAACTGGCTCCAACCTACCTCACTGATATGCTTCAGCTCCATGTCTGAAGCTAGTAATTATAAATTGTCGCAAAGTTATTTCAACCAGCTGGACAAACAAGCTGATGGAATATTTTTTGGGCCCAGCACCAGTATTTCATTTATGAATCCTATGGAACTCTCTGAGCACAAAAGAGGGCATGCCAGGAACCACTGCAACCAATCAAAAATGCATTCTGGCCCGAAATGTACAACACTGCTCACAATCCAACTGAACCGAGCTCCAATTTCATGCTACCAGCTGGGTTTTGGCAAGGCAACAATCACTATAAATTCTCACACAATGCCAATGGAGTTATGTGATCGGGCAGAAGATAGACAGTGCTGTGAGAGAGTACAATCTGTCCTATTGCTGACTTCAAAATCACAAGCATGGTGCTGTAGATTTGCAGTGAGCCCATACTTTTACACATGCAAACAATGCAAAATGATTTCCAATCAACATACTCCCTACTACAGCTATCATCAATGACTGCAAGTTGCTGTTAAATTTGTGACCATATGATTGATTATGTGCTGACCTTTATAGTGTTATGGTTTGCACGCAGTTTATTATTTGCTTAAATCATAACACATTTTTGCTCCACTCTGAGCAGAAAGAGTAGGCTCAATCAACTGCAATTCTAATCAGCTTCATACATGTAGAAGCAACAAGGGATTGACCAATATTGACACTTTCCTTTATGTCATAATTCAAGAGATGGACAGAGTAAGTTTATCACTTAACATTCTAGAATTGTTACTGTTTTCTAACTTTTTTCTTATTGGTTATTTTGTGCATAATCTACTTCCTTATTTCAGTTTGTATAACAACCACTATTGTTCTTGTGGTTGTCAATTAACAAAATAATAATAATTGCATTGGGCTGTTTTTATGTCCTATAAGGGATATGACTATTGCATTGTAATCAGTCCAATCCTGTACTCTCTGTTGAGATGTCTAATTTGGACACAATGTCACCCACACCTGGAACCACATGAAATATCTAGCCAATAGCACCATTTTTTAACATCGAAGCAGATCGATGATGTAAGTGATGTTTGTTTTTGCTATATTGTTTCAGACATGGATCACACAATCTAGGGTATTGGGAGTTCATAATAAGAGGGTTGTTGAAAGGAAATAAACAGATGCCATCTGACTTCCAATCTTTACTAATGCATGCAGATGTTGTGTTGATAATTATAAGCCACAGTATTCCTTTACGAAAATCATCAAGCATTTTACAGACAAACCCATAACATATGAAGAACCGTAAACATACATGTCCAAAAGGATCCAGGTGGTTGTTGGTCAGTTTCAGCTTCTGGAAAGAGACAAGCTGCCTCATCCAATGCGCCCCAGTCGCAGGAGAATCCGGGTGAACGTAGAGCCTCCCGGGCATGGCAGGTTCAGCCTTCCCGGTCACAGACCTGAATCATAGCACCAAAGTCAGCATTTAAAAAAATACTTTCACACATTGAAATATGCTGTTTATGAAAATGCCTTAGGCATATTTCACTTTTCATCGGAAATACAGGTTTAGCCTAATATGTAGACAAGGCTTTCTTCGAAATAAATTAATTTAGGCTATTTGGAAGTAGGCCTAGGATTTGTTCCAAAACTGGAGATTTTACCAAGGTTATACCGCTATCGGCCTACAGTTAATTAAATTGAAGGTTCGACAAATGCCTTTAGTTTGTCGTTTTTAATACTGTCCACGTATAGCCTAATTGTGTTTAGCCTACTCTCACCCCAAAGGACAATAAATGGAAACGGAAAATATGTTTTAATATAATAGCCTACATTAAGGCTATAGTCTAGTAGCCTAGTGCCCTATGACGTGCTTTACGTTGACAGTTGGGTTGGTATGGGTCATCCTATTTAGCATAACCAATAACCTGCTATTTGGCACGGGCGAACATTATTTTCTTAGTTGACCAGGAGAGTATTAGTTCAACAACATGCGCTGAACGGGTCATCATCAGCGTTATTTGCATGTGATTATACTCTTTAAAAAATCTCAATTGAAAACCACTGATCCCAAAAAGGCATTCTTGACCAGATGGACATGACACTAACAACTAGTGTTTATGCTACGTTTCGCTGATGGTAAAGAGAATACCTCAGAGGTGTCAGAAGAGAGCTACACCCTGACCATACGAAACATCAATACAATAATGAATTCGCATAAAACACAAAAATAGCCTAAGCCTCCAGTCGGTAGTCAGCACAACTCCGCAGCACTTGCCATGGATGCCCTACTCAATTTCCGTACTCCAACCGAAAGCCTTTTTTTTTTTTACTACATAAAGCTGCACAGCCTACAGCAACATTTTGAGACATTTGAGCCATTAGGAATAGTTTGCTAAAGATTGCCTACTAGGCCTACCAAACGGGAACAGAATTTGAGGCATAAACCTTAGGCCTAACCTTATAATTTCATTATAGGGTTGTGAAACATCCTGGAGATGAAAATACATATGATAATGTGTTCATATGATCATATGTTGTATACAGGTAAGTATTGTCATAAGGCTGTGGAAATGGGCACTGAAACGATCCAAGAGGCACTTGTTTTGGAAAAGTCCTACATACCATTTATTATCAGCGAATTTGTAGCGATGGTCGTCCGCAGGCACGACATCCATCAGGAGTATGTATTTCGTTTTAGGGTTCAATCCAGTGACCTTCACTTTGAAGCTGGGAAACATTCTTCTGCAAACGAAGCAAGATAAAATAGTTACACAATGCAAGTGCAAATGCTTACCATGAATGACCTACACTCCACGTATTTTGGGATGGGTGTAAACCCCACTGGTTCACAATGAATATCAACGTCAGACATATATAACCAAATGAAGCTTAGAACAACAATCAATGAAACAAAATAAAATAAATGGGAATTAAAGTGTCCAAATATACATTTTGTTCGTTTGGAAGCGACTGCATACTTTTACGCATGCAACAAATGAAGCGAATGAATAGCCTACTTCAACAAAATAAACCATAGGCTATTCTATGAAGGAATGGGCCTATTGTTTCACGGTGAAATACATGTTTAAGGCAGCTTCTTTTGCACCAAATGCCTCACTAAAACCAGATGCATTTGTGATGTGTGCACATATATTTTCAGATATGCAACTTTATTTTCCAGTTCCTGTGCCAACTTACACAAGTAGCCTACCCTGATGAAATAGGGTCTACCAGGTTGGAAAACGTGATCAGTCAGAGGCTGATGGTATAGAAATTACTAAGGAAAAGAAGTCAAACGCGGATTGGATCCCGGCCTCCAGGGCAGGCCTTTGGTAATAACGAGGCAGTGGCGAGGTGATTGGAAGGGGTAAGGGCTGAGGAGGGATGGTTAATAAAGTCTCAAGCCAAAAAGGGGGGAATGAATGGACAGAATATAAAGACGGCTTTATGCAGCTGTGAGAAAAAACATTAACCTAGTGCACACTGGAAGGATATTGAGACATGGCTGAAATGAATAATAAATACCTAAGAGCCACAAGACGATTTGTTAACATGAGCAGAGACCACCGACCATCATGCATATTCAAGTTCACAGGTACAAGAATATCTCAACCATATTCCTTGAGAGTTTCTAAACAGGCCAGTTAGACCGAATTGCTAAACGGATTTACACTCGGCCCCCTATGCCCAAATTCCTTCGCATGAAAAATCGTGTAGGACTTTTTGTCTTGAAAAGTAATTTGATAATGGTTTCAATATGGCAAACGTGACGAACATTAGGGTAGAATTAAAAGAATATCACGTATTCAATTTGGAAAAACACACCTCAAAAATAAAATGGATGGAGAAAGTGAGAGAGGATTACAAGAATGAAGGTGATATAACGCATAATATATGCCACGTGTTGTTTCTTTGACTTTTATCTAGCCAAGGGACTGTCTTAAAATGACTAGGCCAATAAATATTTATTTATGGCGCTATCTCTTGGCCTATTGAGAAAATAGTGAAAGTAGGCCTCCTTCCAGCAACGAATACGGCATTAATATCACTATCACATTATTGGAAAGTAAAACCTCTCATCTCTGTGCTCATACATCAAACGAAACATGGACGGATTAATTTTTTCAGACACAGTGCTGTCAAAACTAGTACCACTAAATGTTGACAATTTTTTTCAACAAATAATTATTCAAACATAACCTCACATGTAGGCCTAAGCTTATTGCAAACATGGCTAATGCATATAATTAAACATACATTTACATTTACATCATTTAGCAGACGCTCTTATCCAGAGCGACTTACATGAGCAATTAGGGTTAAGTGCCTTGCCTCAAGGGCACATCGACAGATTTTCACCTAGTCGGCTCGGGGATTAGAACCAGCGACCTTTCGGTTACTGGCACAACGCTCTTAACCACTAAGCTACCTGCCGCCCCACGACCTTTCGGTTACTGGCACAACGCTCTTAACCACTAAGCTACCTGCCGCCCCACAATTTATTTCAGTAATATATTGGTGTATGTTTGTATATATCGACCATGGCAACAATATTTAAATAATTGTATGTTCCTAAAACGTATCTGCATAGCCCGTAATGCCAGTATGAGCAGGCGTTGCTCTCTTACCTTCCAGCTTTGGTGATAATCATCTCCGTCCCCACCTCGTGAAACTTCGCCCACAGTTCCCTCTCGTGCAGGTACACTTTTATCCCCTCCATTCCCTTCACAATTAGACAAGTAAAACGAATATCAATATTACTTTTCCTTGCAGTTGACACCATTCTGTAAGCTTATTTAGCCCAATCATTATACAAATAATATTTACGTCACTATGTCATGTCATTCATACAGGGACAATGTTGCACTATAGCATACATTCCATTATAGTTTAACAAAAACACAATAGCATTTCATATTAGCCTACTATTCACATTTGGCTACTCTGAAACAATACTATAGATAGGCATATAGGTCCAGAACAACCTCTAGGCAGTGACTTGAGACTGTCGACATGAAGTGCATAGGTTCCAAATAGGGAGTAACGCTGACCTGTTGAATATATGTCGTCTGGGAGGATGGAGATTTGCCCGAATTTCCATTTTGTTTATCTGCTTTACTTTCAGAGTGTAATTCCTTTGACTCTGAACCGCTTGGCGAATTTTGGAGCCCAACGGTTTCCTCCTGGTCCTCCATGTCTGGAGCTCCGGAGACCAAGGCCTCAACTGTTAGATCGAAACAAAGCACATTTTAACGTTACATTCTCAGTCCTGAATAGACCTATGCGCATAACTTTTATTCAATACATTTTTGATGTGACATTAGCCGATTGAAATTCCAGCTCGCCTGAAATTACTTGTAGGTCAAAATAAAATAGCCATGACTTAACAACATGGCCTGCTATTAACATACCCAACACACACGCGCGCGCACGCACGCACACACGTTTTTGCAGTCTTCATACTTCTAATACCTTTCAGTCTTGGACTCTTTCAATGAACAAAGGTTGTGCGTGAGTCGCAACTGCTATGAAGCCCATGGCTTTTATTATAATTGATATAATGATGAAGAAAATAAAGACATCCATAATTGTAGCACTAATGATTACAATAACAAAGACTGATGTAGGCTACTTATAATAATTAAGCTATAATAAACATAGCAATGGTGATATATGCTTAGCAAGGACACCACTCATAACGTTTCTAAACGCGATGATGCTGACTTTGCTAGTAGCCTATTTGTAGGGAATCTATACTAATGATTGCAAAAACTATAAGTTCGGGACAAAGCCTATAACCTATGTATTCCTAAGACGCTAGATGGTGTTGGTAACAACGACCACCTCTGCAAATAGTAAGATATATGTATTTGTATAAACAGAGAGCACGACGTAAAGGCAAACAATGTCAAATATAGGACTTCTGTATCTAAACGTGTCCCCAGCTTCTTACAAAAACAGACGTGATGTTTTCCCCGCTATGAGGGCCTAAACTGACATGACCTGCGATAACTATTACTATAATGAACCACTGACCACGGGGACATGGGTAGGTAGCCTACTCCGTACAGTAAAAACGGCTTTACCTTGTAACCAGAAACGTTACTTTCAATGTCGTGAAGCTATGGCACAGCAGAGGTAGTTTCTTCAAAAATGTTTGCTAAGAGTTTCCAACCCAATTCAATGTATAATCCCAATGTGTAGCCCGAAAAGGCTATCCAGTATCTCCATGGATTTTCTCTATCTTCAGAGCAAGTCCAAATTGACGGCGACCCAGCGACCAAGCAAAAACTCACAAGTGAAGGAAGATTCAAGAGTCTTGCAAAGATGGCTAAAATAACGTGCGCGGTGTTACTTTATTGTACATTTTATAGCCGAGAACCGTTGTTCAGGAAGCCTTCCCTGGTGATAGCACATAGCAGTATAGCAGTGTTCCAGAGGAGCAAGTCCGTCACCAAGCTTCTTTCCTCCCTCCTCTCTCTCCCTCCCTCTCACGCACCAATGGTCCACAGTAGCACGCCTTACGAAGCGGAAGCTCTGAGACTTTGACGAGCAGCGTAGGCTAGTTTGGGTTGTCCTCTCTGCCTATCCAGTGCCTGAACAGGAATGGTCAACCTCAAGTATAGTCTTCTTCAGGTCCCCCCTCCCACGTCCGTCAACCCCCTCCAAAACCTCTCATTTACTGCTAAATCTACCGGAGATATTTTCCTATTGCGCAAACTCAGTAATGTTTTCAATTGTGATTTTGTTTATATAAATAACTCATTACGGTCAATTAAGAGACAAACACAGATAAAGGCATGTGTTAGAATACATTCATCCTATTAAAAAATATGTGTTTACAAATTTGGCCTAGGCTATATGCGTCATGCATCAGAGAATTGAACAAATAAACGAGATTATTTGGGCAAATCTGAGAACAATGGTCAACAAAGCATATAAGAAAATAGGAGTGCATGTGTATAATAGGCAACAACAAGTAAAGGTGGATTGTAGCCTACAGAAAATATCCATGCAATTTGTGAATGAGCTGCATCTGACCCTTCATTCATCTCGCCTCATCAAAATTATTTGGAGCATTCGGAGTGGGCCACGGCCGCACAACTTTACATTGAAAGAGGAACATTTTATTGAGTGAATAACCATTACAATATAGCACAACACAATTGTATATGCCATCATTTCCATGAGGATAGGCGTGCAATGTAAATTGAAGGCCAGATATCGTACAAATCTGTATTTACGCGTGAATACAAAATCACACCACATGGAATATTCTCCATTTCGCGCAGGGATATTGACCTACTGAGCGTTGTCGTTGAACTCTCTGTACATAGGGAACACAACATGACTGAATAATCCAAAATTCTAGTATTTAACGGACATTCTTCTCACGTGGACATCGCAGAAATCTCTGTTTTACATGGCTTTATTATGGTTGGAATCCTCCTACATTAGGTCTGTTTTCCCTGAGGCTATTATTCCAGTACGCAGGCACCTTGCCTCTGATAAAACCCCATTTGGTTTACAGGCCATTTCCTATAAGATTTAATTCAGTGAGGTGTGACACATCGAACGGGAAGAACCGTGTGACAGAAACGATACAGAGCTGGTACTAAAGCCACCTCACACCGCGTGGTATGACCCCATAGGCTGTTGGTCTAGGTTCATTAAGTGGTACGATGTCAATATTTAGACTTCTAAGATGTCAGTAGTTCTTATGCCAATTACCATAACCTCTGTAGCCCACCCTGCCCCCACGCACACCACAAATGTGACGAGTGACCGCTATGACTCGTCATCACAAACAGCATTTCTATTCACGTGTCAAAATATTACACATCACCAAAGAAGAAGGTAGGCCTACCCCAAAAAAGACAACGTTTATAAATAAATGAACGACCTTTAGGCTAAATTAACTCATCAGCTTTAGGCCTAGGGGGACACAAGTCCGTGCCAAATTTGATATCAAAATATATGTTTATCTTGTCTGACGTTTGTGCGCAGTGCATCTATGAAATGTTGCTCCTCAATGTGTGAAATGGTAGCCTATAGATATATCACACACATCACCATGACAAACCGGACTGCGCTATATAGCAAATGATAACCCGTTGGCTCACACAGGAGAGTATGGGAACCGGTTCTTTGCAATGATAAAATGCTAACCCAGCAAACTCATGATAAAGTCTTTCCAAATTCTTGGCCAGCTGGGGCAACACAAGAGCTCCTCAATATATGCACTGAACTCTACGCCCCAAAGGCATTCCTCTTTCGATAATTTTGAGGAGGAAAATAAAGTAGCAAATGTGAGTGAGTGAGATGGGCTGACCTGGCAAAACAACTAAGGATTGCATGCGTCGAAAGAGAAAGCAATTGTCAAAGGCTTAATTTGAGTAAATCGTTTTATAGGCCTAATTGCCACCAATAACCAAATATTTTAGTCTTCTACTAAAAAATAATACTCTAAATACGTAAGATCTTTGGGGGAAGTGAGACTCAAGCGACGAATGAAAAATACATCATACATGAATGTTCAGGTAGTGAAGGCATATAACGTTAGGCTAGTCTACTCAATGCATTATTCTGTCAAATAAGTATGGACATAACGCAGGTAACAGAGGGAGTTTACCATATAGGAAAAATAACATTTAGGGTTAAAGAGAGATTGTCCTAATGCTAGAACAATTGCGCAAATAGCTTATCACACAAAGCGGTGGACTTTTTTGTTGTCAAAGACAATATTCCCATTCATGTTCTTATACAGAAGTGCATGTGCGTGAGACAAAATAAATAATCATTATTACCAACTCCCTAAGGGAAACGTAGCTTTTGAAACGTAGCATGTTCATGATATTGTTTATTCCCTCCAAAATATTCACCAAAACTTTCACTTCTCCCGAGGACATCTGATGCAACTGGTGGAACCATAATCTACTAGAATCATCATAGTCTTCCTCATCATAATCATATCATCGGTATCATCATCATTGTCGTCGTCATCATCCTCATCGTCAACAACAGGTAAATATTGCGTAATGGGACTCAACTCTTAATTTTTCCAAATAGGCATGAGGCTCCATTATCAATTTGAAGACTGAAATAGTTCTACGGACTAAACGTTTTCGTTTGGCAAATGACTATCAGTTGGGAAAATATCAAAATATCAAATTATCAGAGATTACAGTTTACTACATGAACCAATTTACTTTCAACATGGACTTGACTACATTTTGATTCCTGCTATGTAATGAAGTAGAAACGAAAAACAACAACAAAACTTAGCTCAACTAAGCTGTGTAAAGGGACTGCTTCTCTAATTCGTTTCAAAATAACCTTTGGACGAACTTTAGAAAGTCAAACTGTTATTAATTTCACATTTACATTTACATCATTTAGCAGACGCTCTTATCCAGAGCGATTAATTAACTGCATCTTTTATTGCAATTAATGATATAGACAGTTAAACGACATGTACATTTCTCTTGATTGTTCCATACCTATGGCCTAACGTATGAACAACACTAGTGTGTCTCACGATTAAACGGCCAAGTCCAGAAACGCAGAAAGGTCGAGTAGTTCAAAGCCAAGGACAAAGTGCCAACCCTTTATTAGGTTGCCTTTATAGATAGCCTACTCTAAAGCCTAACTACGTTTATAACAAGAATGGTATTAGGCTACTCAGCTAGGCCTTGTGTAGTTAGCCTACAATAAATAATGATTAATTGTAATAAAAGTACACTGTAAAAAACGTATTATAGTTAGTCCTAGTAAGTAATTACATGTAATTGCATTAAGGTATTATAAAATGTAATTTAGCCACACGGCACTGTACCTTATCTTTGCATTTTAATGTTAAAGCTGGAATCCTTAATTGAAACAATAACAAAGTGGTACCCTGCCTGTATTTCGCAAAAAATCTGAGGGATGGGCCTGGAGAAATGTTACCATTCTCAAATTCAAAGCGTGAGCTCTGTATGCTAGTACTGACCATCCATGATATAAACATTCGAGTTTTAACCATGTTTTGAGGCTAGAAAGTACTTGTTACATTTACTTTGTTCACAAATGTTGAAATATAACAAGCTTATATTGTGGGTGCTGATGTTCAACTAAGTTAATGAGGCATTTATTTATAACTTATATAAATACAAGTTATACTCTTCAAGAATCAATAGTTATATATAATTAATTTATAAGTCCAAAAA